ATATAAAATGTATGATTAGAACTAGTTTTTGACTTTGGTATAAATTATGATATGAATTTTAATTTCTACAACGTAGACTAAATAAGCATCACTCTATCAATCATCCCTCCATATAACCTTGTTAGGCCATCTCCAACCCTATACCAACTTTTGAGGTAAGTTTTGCACAATTTTACATCAAATTAAAAATTATCTCCAACTATTACACCAAATAAATAGTGTTTAATCATTTTCCTCATTGTATCTATTTGAAAAATTATTTATTTATTTATTTATTTTATAACTACATAAATTACTAAATAAATAATTACGTTACATTGACAAAAATATTAAATTCATTAACTATAATTTTTTACATTATTAAAATTTATTTTAAATAATAATAATAATAATTTATTGTATTAAAAAAAGTATAACACAAATGACACATATACCCTTTATCTATTTGTTTGGCAAATAAAGACAATAGATAAAATTGACTTTACGCTATTTGGTGTAAAATGGCACAAACTTTGATAGTATATTGGAGACCTTTTGCACCAAAATTTGGTGCACCAAAAGATGCCCTTAGAACAACTTAAGCTGGATTCATGGATACTGAATATCAATCATCCCTCCATATAACCTTGTTAGGCCATCTCCAACCCTATACCAACTTTTGAGGTAAGTTTTGCACAATTTTACATCAAATTAAAAATTATCTCCAACTATTACACCAAATAAATAGTGTTTAATCATTTTCCTCATTGTATCTATTTGAAAAATTATTTATTTATTTATTTATTTTATAACTACATAAATTACTAAATAAATAATTACGTTACATTGACAAAAATATTAAATTCATTAACTATAATTTTTTACATTATTAAAATTTATTTTAAATAATAATAATAATAATAATAATAATAATAATTTATTGTATTAAAAAAAGTATAACACAAATGACACATATACCCTTTATCTATTTGTTTGGCAAATAAAGACAATAGATAAAATTGACTTTACGCTATTTGGTGTAAAATGGCACAAACTTTGATAGTATATTGGAGACCTTTTGCACCAAAAGATGCCCTTAGAACAACTTAAGCTGGATTCATGGATACTGAGTATTAATGACAAGTAGAATAGTAATAAATTATTGACATGGACGATAGTTACCAACTTACGTACTTATTAAATCCTATGTCGTCAATTCGAGTATGTCAATATTTGTCAAGTTACATTATTAAATGCAAGAACAGAGAACGAAAGTTCAAATGACAAGCTACCAAAATTGCAATGTGAGTTCTAATTGGATGAAAAAGTTCCTAGTTTGGTATCATTTTAAGCCAAATTCTTTTCTTTTACCTTATAAAATCTACTCAAGTTCTTTTTTTTAAACCGTGTCAAAATATTTAGCCGACATTCAGTGCTCATGTCTAGTCCTCTTGTAAACGTCACTTCAGTCATTCAAGTTAGTAATAAAGATATTTAATTTGCGTATCAATCAATTTTTTAAGTTATGAAACGTGCACTAAGTGTTTAACGCTCAAGACAGTCAAAAGTTATGGAGCCAGTAGATTAGAGAGTTAGGGATCATAAAATGCCCCTTCCTGCTCCCACCTGGTATCATGGGTCCAATCCCGAATTTATTTAAATTTTTAAATTTCCATTTTATTTGAAAAATTAAAATATAAAAATGTAGAAACAAATAAGTAAATAAGGCACGTACCTCCTAAAAATCCCGAATGAGACAAGAAAAATGGGGACGGCTGGGCCACCCTAGCTTGGGTTGTTGCTATTAGAGGTTTAGAGATGTCAAATGAGTCAAGATATTTGTCCAAATGTGAATCATGGGATGAGTTGAGCTAGATTACTCTCGTGTGACTTATTGGCTCATGAGTCAAAGCACGATGAGCCTGTTGTGCAAGGCTAAAAGCAACCAAAATTGATTTAGATTTTTTATTCAGGTACTATTTTGATGTCGCTTACTTATCATGTAGCCATCCCAAAGTTCAGATAAAGGAAGATGATTTTTACAACTTCAAATTTATTTTATTATATTTTTAATTTTTAATCTTCATTTATTTTTATTTTTTTGATTTTTGAGTTTCATAGTTAACAAATTCGCAATTTTATTAAGTTTTATAAAAACGATAATAAAAATTTCATTTGATTTTTTAAAAAAATAAAAAATAAAAAACTAGGCATATGAGTCAACTTACCATCAAGAGGCTAGTACGAATCAACTTTTTTAGAATGATTTGACTCGTGCTCAGATTGCCCCAAAGCGAGCATGAGTCAACTCGTGCATTAGGCAAAGCTGAGCCCAAAGGCGGGCTAGCTCGCCCCATTAACAGCCTTGCAAAAGCCCACAAAATGGCTCCACAAGGTTTGGGCCTGATGATGTATTTAAGGTCCAAATTCAGAAAACATGTCGATTTACCAAATAAAAATTATAAGAATTAAGTGTTTTCAAAATCTCAATTCATAACTAAGAATTATAAGTTCTTATTTAAAAAATCAGATATAAATAAAATTTTAAATAATAATAATCATCATCATCTAATATTAAACAAT